AAAAAAAAAAAGAAAGAAAGAAAAAAAAGTAGTTAACTCTGGGTAGGATTTGAAGTGATTTGAACTTAAACTTTCATCTGTGTCTTTTTTTTTCCTCCATTAATTGCGTATGATTTCGATAATCTGAAAGGAAATGGAGCTGTTTTCAGTTTGGCAAAACAAGTGCAAGCAACTGATCTGGAAAACTGTTTGCAGTGACTTCGACACAGGGTTACGTCTTTATGATTCAAAAAGCTCTTACAAATTATTAAGAAATAATTGAAGATCCCAGTGGGGTTGAGGAGAGAACACGGATAGACCATTCATAACATAGAAAACAGAGATGGTAAACAAACATATGGATCATTATTCAGATTCACTTGTAATCAAAGAAGTGTAAATTTCAATAATGAGCCAACATTCATTTGTTGTTAAATTAGTGAAAGTTCATTGCTGTGTTATTTGTAATAAAGAAAAAATAATATCAATAAATTGTAGTACCTTCTTTTGGAACTGTTAAAAGTGGAAGGTTGTGTAAATTATGCTGCAACCTGGGAAAACAGAACATTTACATGAAGGAATTGAAGAGTTATGGGTGGGGTGGGGTGGGGTGGGGTGGGGAGCAGGGCAGAATTGTTCAGGTGAGGAAGATCTGGGTTCAGTCCAGCTCTGCCACTTAATAGGTCTGTGATCTTGGGCAAGTTGCTTAGCCTCTCAGCCTTGGTTTATTTTTTTCTCTATGGTTGTAAAAGTATGTAAAGTACCTGACACAGAACCTGGTGTGTAGTGTTTATTCAGTAAATGTTTGTTGAATGAATGAGTGATAGTTATTCAATGCTATATATAAAAGAATATGTATGAAGAAAGACTGGAAGAAAACACAGCAAAATAATTACTGGTTATGATAGGGTGAAGAGAATGTGAGTGATTTAAAAACTTCCTGTTTTCTGCTATTTGGTGATATAATATTTTTAATTGAAATAATTACCTAAGTTCATACCTAATCTCTTTCTTTCTGGGTGTCCTATTGTACTTACTGTTTGATAAATTTTGAGGTGTTTTTCTTTTCTTTGAGACAAGGTCTAGCTCTGTCGCCAGGTTGGTGTGCAGTAGTGTGATCATGGCTCACTGCAGCCTCGACCTCCTGAGCTCAAGCAATCCTTCTGCCTGGACCTACCAAAGTGCTGGGATTATAGGCATGAGCACCATGCCCACCTAATTTTGTATTTTTAGTAGAGATGGGGTTTCACTGTGTTGGCCAGGCTGGTCTCAAACTCCTGACCTCAGGTGATCCACCTGCCTCAGCCTCCCGAAGTGCTAGGATTACAGGTGTGAGTCACCACGCCCATCCAATTCTGGATATATTATAAAGAGCAGAGCCAACAAGATTTGCTGATAAATTTGATGTTAGGGGCAGAGAGAAAGAAAAGGGTGAAGGCTAATTCCATGGTGTTTGGCTGAGTAAAAGAATGAAGGGAATAATGCCATTAAGTCTCAAAATTGTGCTAAGCATGGGCCACTATGCCTGGCTCATTTTGTATTTTTAGTAGAGACGGGGTTTCTCCATGTTGGTCAGGCTGGTCTCCAACTCCTGACCTCAGGTGATCTACCTGCCTCGGCCTCCCAAAGTGCTGGGATTACAGGTGTGAGCCACTGCACCCAGCCCACAATATCTGTTTTATTGGATTCACTCTGCCTGTCGGGCTAGGGCTCTACCCAAAGGACTTGAGAGAGAGGCCTCTGCTGGGAATATTCTCTTACTGTGATTGGAGTGGTTCCATGAGTATATGCATATGTAAACACTTAATTAAGCTGTGTACTTCACATTAGAGCACCTTTACAGTATGTGTATTATTCCTCACAAAAAAATGTTTAAAAATATAGTGTATTCTTTGACATCTCCAGAGGAAGTTAAACATGCTAAATGATACATAAAGATAAGGAAAGAGTTACTCATATATTTGCTTATTAAGATTTCCAGTCTGGCTATTGTAATTTTTGTTTTGAATTCAAAGCTAAAGTAAAATAATTTTTATTTACTTTGTCTTTTGCAGAGACAGCAGTAGCAGAATTTCACAAAAAAATCAAAGAGGCATTTGAAGTGTTTGACCATGAGTCGAATAATACAGTGGATGTGAGGTTTGGACATTTTTTTTTGGTTACACTTCTAAATTACTGATACATGTCATAAAATACAAGAGAGTGATTTTCTCTTCTTTTTATACTGTACCTTGGATTTATTATGATATTTTAAGTATTTCTTTTCTGTGCTCTGTAAACTGTCTTTGCTAGCTATTGCTTTGATAAGTGCTTATTCTTCATACTCTGGGATGAAGAATCTGCTGTATTCTCATTGCCTGTTCCACTGTATAAACTGTGAACTCTGTGAGTGAGATGAACTCTTTTTATCTTCACTGCTTGGCATGTAGTTGGCACTCAGGAAATAGTCATTGAGTGAATGAAGAGCATTTGCTTTGTAAAACACATAAATATGTATGATAAGGCCACGAATAGTATATTGCAAGGAAAGATTAATAATGCCTATCAATGGTACACTCCCCCTGTAAAATAGCAAAAAGAACCAAAACAGAAAAACGTAAAAAGACAAGAGAAAGACATGAATACTGGTAGATCTGAAATGGGGGACACAGCTTGAGACTGAAACAAAACAAAAAACCCCTCAAAAGATAGAAGAGATTAGACACTCAGAAGAATTGTAGCGTTTGTGTTATACACATCAAAGGAAGGCAATGAAGCCAGTCTCGGTGACTGACACCTGTAATCCCAGCACTTTGAGAGGCCAAGGCAGACAGATCACCTGAGGTTAGGAGTTCGAGACCAGCCTGGCCAACATAGTGAAACTCCGTCTGTACTAAAAGTACAAAAATTAGCCGGGTGTGGTGGCATTTGCTTGTAGTCCCAGCTACTAAGGAGGCTGAGGCAGGAGAATTGCTTGAACCCGGGAGGCGGAGGTTGCAGTGAGCTGAGATCTTGCACCACTGTACTCCAGCCTGCGCGACAGAGTCAGACTCTGTCTCAAAAAAAAAGGCGGTGAAACCATTCCTTCAGGAGGCCAGGCTAAATGAGGGTTATCTGATGAGACTAGAATCTCAGGACCAGAACCTAGTACACAGGCCAGCAAAGCAGTGGGAAGTAATTTTAAAAATGGTGCTGGAGAGGAACTGTTAGATGCTTATAAACCAGTGCCGTCAGGGCTGGAGCACTGTGCAGCACCATACAGCTCCGCTGACTCTGATCACATTGCATTCTATGGGAATGACACTGTGGAACCCCAGGCCTTACTGTGGGTGTCCCAGTAGGAAATGAGTGGGTGGGGTGCTGCTGGTGGCAGTAGAGTTTGAGTTTGGGTGCAGCAGGCAGCCCTGGCATGCAATGTGAGTGACTGAATACAGGAATGACAAGTGCCTTGACCTCAGACCTCTCCTTGAAGGGTTCTCCTGGGGGCAGGGGACAGAGGTATTGATAAAGAAGTCAGGGGAGATAAGGCTTTATGAGAGAGAAGGGGAAGGAGAGAAAAGAAACCAGCATTTGCTTGAGGCTTGCCCTCTGATACACTACCTGTAGTTGGGTGGAAGAGGGTTCATGTGGGTTACCTCATTTTCATGTTTTTATTTCTGGGTTAAGGAAATCTCCAGTTTCCAGAGACGAGGAGAAGGTAAATAGTTTGCTCAGTGTCACACCAGGGTTTTTCTAACTCCAAGTCTTTTGGTATGCTACATTGCCCACACTCCCACCCCTACTCTTTAAAGACATCAGGGACTTCTCCCCTGCCTTCAGGCTTCCTGACAGTAGCAGTGAAAGGAAAATCTCCCCAATCCCTTAGAGCAGTGATGCCAGGCCTTTTTTGGTAAAAGGGCTAATTCAGTAAAAATAAACATGTTTGTGGCTGCATCTTCTTTTCCACTGGAAGTTAAAATAACTTTACTGAGGCCCTGAGGGAAAGTGTATATTCTTACAACTTAAAGGGTCTGCTTTATTAATTAAAGATGGTTACTAAGAAAATTATTATTGTTTTTAGCATTAAAATATTCATGCTGAGTATATTTGAGGAGTAACAACTTGGATGAATGTAGATTTCTAATCATTATTCTATGCTCATTTGTATAGCACTTTAAAGTTTATAATGAATGTTCTCATGCTGCTGGTATCATTACCATCTACTCTTTTTTTAAAAAAAAATTATTATTATTATTTAATATTATTTATTTATTTATTTAAAAAATTTTTTTTAAGAGACGGGGTGTCGCTGTGTTGCCCAGGCTGGAGTGCAGTGGCTATTCACAGGTGTGATCCCACTACTGATCGGCACGGGAGTTTTGACCTGCTTCATTTCTGACCTGGGCCTCCAGTTCACCCCTCCTTAGGCAACCTGGTGTTCCCCCGCTCCCAGGAGGTCACCAGATTGATGCTGAACTTAGTGTGGACACTCCATCGGCATAGTGCACTACAGTCTAGAACTCCTGGGCTCAAGTGATCTTCCAACCTCAGTAGCTGGGACTACAGGCACGTGCCACCACACCTGGCTAAAAAAATTATCTTAAGGATAGGATCTTTAAAGATAGATAGGTTGGATTACAGTGGCTTGATCATAACTCACTGTAACCTTGAGCTCCTGGGCTCAAATGATCCTCCTGCCTTACCCTCCCAAGCAGCTAGGACTATAGGCACTTGCCACCACACCCAGCTAATTATTATTTTTTGTAGTGACAGGGGTCTTGCTATGTTGCCCAGGCTGATTCACCCCCTCAGCCTCCCAAAGTGTTGGCATTACAGGTGGGAGCCACTGGACTCAACTACTCTCTATAAATTGGAAATTAAGCTTTGGAGGCTGAGGTGGGTGGATCACTTGAGGTCAGGAGTTTGAGACCAGCCTGGCCAACATGGTGAAACCCTGTCTCTACCAAAAATACAAAAAAATAAAAAAATTAGCTGGGGGTGGTGGTTCGCACCTGTAGTCCCAGCTACTTGGGAGGCTGAGGCAGGAGACTCGCTTGAACCCAGGAGGTGCAGGTCGCAGTGGGCTGAGGCTGCATCACTGCACTGCAGCCTGGGCGACAGAGTGAGACTCCATCTTAACAAAACAAAACAAAAAAAAAAAAAAGAAAAAAAAAGAGAAATTTCAGGACAAAGAAGCCAAAAGGCTTGCCTGAGACCACCCAATGGGTTAGCAACCAAGTTGGAGCTCAAGTTCATTTCTTCTTTGCCAGCAGCACCGTCCAGTTCGACTGTGCACCCCGCACCGTGCTTCTGAGAATGCGGGGATGAGTGAGGTCCGGTGCTGCCTTTCCCAGCCTGTTTTCTCCGTTCGTAAAAACAGTTGATCGATCTAGAGTGTATTTTGGCTGATGATTAAAAGTGAAGGTCTAGGCCGGGCTCGGTGGCTCACGCCTGTAATCCTAGCACTTTGGGAGGCCGAGGTGGGTGGATCACCTGAGGTCAGGAGTTCAAGCCCAGCCTGGCCATCATGGTGAAACCCCATCTTTAAAAAAAAAAAAAAAAAAAAAAGTGAAGGTCTAAATAGACATTTTTTTTTTTCCAAAGTACTAAACAGTTTATTCTACTTCAGGAATTGTTAGGCCTTCTTTATAATATGCCACATTTTATAGAAGTGGCCATGTCTTATGTGCTATAGCACTGTACCTTTCAGCCTTATACTAGTTCAATACATATTAACTGTTGTCAGTTTATAAAATGATTTAATGTCTGATAGTTAAATATCTTTCTTTTTAAACATTTTAATTAAGGATTGAAGGCAGTATTCTGTGTCAGGATTGAGGAGCGTACATACAAAAGAATGAAATCCTGTCATTTGTAGCAACCTGAGTGAGCCTGGAGCACACTGTGTTAACCAAAATAAATCAGGCACAGAAGGATAAATACCACACGATCTCACTCCTATGTGGGAGCTAAAACAAATTGAGTTCATGGAAGAAGAGAGTAGAGCTGTGTGTCGGAGGATAGGATAGACAGGGAAGGAGAGGCTGGCGCGGTAATGGACACAAAAGTACAGCTGGATAAACGGAAGGAGTTCTGTTGTTCTGCCTCATGAGAGGGTGAATATGGTTAACTATAATTTATTATATATTTTCCAAAAATAGAAGAGAGGATTTTGAATGCTCACAACTCAAGGAAATGAGAAATGCTTTAGGCGGTGGATATGCCAGTTACCCTGATTTGCTTATTACACATTGTATACAGTATTGAAGTATAACTCTGCATGTCACCCAATCTGTACAATTATTATTTGTCCACTAAAAGGAAAAAAAGAAGGATTGAGTGGTGTGAAGAAGTGTCTTTGAATGGTGGGAGACATTTATTTTTATTATTATAATTTTTTTGAGATGGAGTCCTGTTCTATCACCCAGGCTGGAGTGCAGTGGCACAATCTTGGCTCACTGCAACCTCCGACTCCCAGGTTCAAGTGATTCTCTTGCCTCAGCCTCCTGAGTAGCTTGGATTACAGGCGTGTGCCACCATGCCCGGCTAATTTTCTTTGTATTTTTAGTAGAGACGGGTTTCACCATATTTGTTAGGCTGTTCTCGAACTCCTGATCTCAGGTGATCCGCCTGCCTTGGCCTCCCAAAGTGCTGGGATTATAGGCGTGAACCATCAGCCCAGCCCATTTTGGGAAACACTTTAAGATAATCTTATAAAGCTAAGCAGTTGTTTTTGTGGGCAGGCCAGAGAGAGCTTTCCCGGAGAGCCCCAGGCATTGGCTGTTCCTCCCCTAACTGCTTTATCTGTCAGGTGGAAGTTTGGTGGCCCTCTGTGTAGGGCTGACCTAGGCCCCCTGAGAGGTCTAAGACTGATCTAGGCCCCCTGAGAGGTCTAGGTCTTAAAGAGTTTTCTGGTGGCTCCTCTCCTTTTCCCTTATCTCTGCTTTGCACAAATTGAAATATTTAATTTGAAATTTTATCACATTAGATAAAGGGAAAGTCTTGTATTGCAAATACTGGGCAACCACCAGCCCACTGTCCAAAGCATTGTGAGATGGGTCCCTGCGACTGCCCTTCCACCTTAGAGGGGCAGTCCTGAGGTCTGGATTCAGACCTACCGGCTTCCCATCCCAGCTCTGTGACTGCTGGACCTTAGTTATTCTCTTTGTGCCTCCATTTGAATATTACCTCACAGGTTTGGTAGTATAAGTAGTTCTCAAAGTGCCCCTAAGACCCTTTCAGGGGTCTGTGAAGTCAGACTATTTTCATAATAAATTTAAGACAGTATTTGTTCTTTTCATTCTCATTTTTCCCAAGAGTATATGAAGCAGGAGTGGCCGAAAGAAGCATGCGGAACTGGGAAGGAAGGGGTGATTTATTCGGCCGGGAGCAAGGTGGCATAGTTGCCTAACAGCTGCTCGCCTAACAAAGGGAACCTCTGCCTTCACACAGGCTCACAAGTCTAGATACTACACGTGAAAGGGTCTTGGGTTTACAGTTTTAGAAAGTGCACGTGAGGGGGTCACGATGGATGAAGTAAGCATGGGAATGTGAGCAAGATTGAATGGGAACAATAGAGGGCGTTTCTCCATATCGCCCCCACCCTTAAGATGACCTGAGATCTTAAGGGTTGGGGGGGTTTAATCTTTAACCTCCAGGCCACTGATCTCATGCCTGCTGTGTCTCAGCTTTTGCTTCCTCCTTCTTTGAGACAAGAGACAGGAAACAGGGGTTTCTTTCCTCATGTATACTGGAGTTTTTCTGAGGCGACATGACGTGCAGTTTTGCAGCAGATTGAATGCAGAACTAGAGATGAGAAGCCAGCTGTCCTCTGTGAAGCCAGGCATTACATATTTACATGGCACATACAGAAAACAAGGCCATTCTTCTAAATATACTGTTTTGGAAAATATAGTTTAAAAAAATAAAAACTATTTATGTGAACATATGGATTTATGTAGGATTTCTAAATGACTTAATACACATTTTAAAAATACATATTTTTCATATACATTTTTAAAATTGTAAATACCTATTTTTAAAATTTAAGGTTTAATTTCTAATATGATAATAAAGATAGTAATAACTCGCACAAACATAACCACTTTGAGTGCCTTGATAATTTTTGATAGTGAAAGGAGTTCTCAGACCAGAACGTTTGAGAACCACTCTTTTCAGTGGACATTTGTAAAGCTCTTACAATATTAGCTTGGGATTTAAAGTTAAGAACAATATTAGCTATTATAATTATTCTACTTTGTATGTATACATAGTTTGTATTATTATTTTGAGATGGGGTCTTACTGTGTGGCTCCAGCTGGAATGCAGTGATGCGATCTCGGCTCATTGTAACCTCCAACTTCTGGGTTCAAGCGATTCTCCTGCCTCAGCCTCTGAGTAGCTGGGATTACAGGTGCCTGCCACCACGCCCATCTAATTTTTGTATTTTTAGTAGAGACAGAGCATTGCTATGTTGCCCAGGCTGGTCTCAAACTCCTGGCCTCAAGGCATCTGCCTGCCTCGGCCTCCCAAAGTGCTGGGATTATAGGCATGAGCCACCGCACCTGGTCCCATTTTATATTCTTTTTTTTTTTT